GTGTTTATTGGCAGCACACTGACTGCTTTATGCTTTATTTGGTGCTTACCTCTTAGGAAAGCAAGTGGTTGCCAGTTTTGTCTACGATTTGCTTTGTTGTTTAAACCTCTTAATCGCATATTAAACTGAGTCTTTCATATTAAATCGCATCTCTTAATGTCAAAACATATAGCTTAGTAGAATGCTTTCTTCAGTTTCCTCCTCTTCCTCTTTTTTCCTGAAAAATTCCCTGCCTCCCTCACATTGAGTTCCAGTTTAAAGGATTAGAAAGCTGGATAGAATGAAGAAACGTGGGGAAAATATCTTGAAGCTCAGATAACTGAGTAAGATGAAGTCATGTCACATTTGGTAATTGAACTGAGTTCAGGGGCTCCCTATGAAACAGATTCTGAATTAACTTGTTGCACTCCAGAAAACTCCAGGTGCCCTTCAGGTGAAATTCTGAATCTGGGAGAAATGCTGGGGTGGGTTTCTGAGCGAAGATGAAATGACAGGAGTATGTTGTCACTCATTTTTCTCTGAAATTCACTGGTAATGAACTATATTGCAGGCCTGCAGTTAACAGTTTTTCAGTTCCGAGTTTCGTTTTGGGACTTTTCATTGCTTTTGTGTTTGGCCCCAGAATACTAGGCCTTTTTTTCCCTGTTCTCAAACAAAATGTGTTGCAGTTGGCATAATCCAGCCAACAATTCAGCTCCTTGTTGCTTGACTTCACACTTTTTACTGTGGAATATCAAATCAGTTATGAGACTGCCAGACAAAATATCCAAGAAAAATGTTTTTTTCTGCTTTGTGAGATTTTTTCCATCCTTATTGATAGTGTGTTGGAATCCATGTGATATGGTTTGTACTGCAAAACAATCGTATAGGATGGTATATGCCTCCTTTTCTGTCACAGCTTTCCAATAAAAAAAAAATACCACTGGCCCATTTTCATGTCTGAATGTAATCGAACTGTGCATGACAATAAAACTGATGTTGAGGATTCCATTTATTCCCATATAATAGCTGTTCCTACTTTATTTGAAGTAATTGCTTTTATTTATTAAATTATTTTCCCTCAGACTATACACCTGCTTGTCAATATTCAGAGTTTGTTCACTGCCTGGCCCTTTAATGATAATCTCTGATTAGTCACTGTGTTCCCAGCTTTTGGAGTTTGTTATGATCTTTTAGAGAGGAAAGAGATGGAGGAGGATTGCAGTTATCTGTAAATAATTAGGCAGGTGGGCTCTTTATGCCAGCTGTGCAAAAAAGAGTTCAGTGATCTAATCAAATGCCAAATATGAGCTAACTTGTGCCATGTTTATTGAACCCTGTGAGGCTAAATATGAATAAATATGCATTTTGCTATGTCTGTGAATAACACAGCCATAGACTGATTCCATTTTATTCTGCATGGCTATTTTATCATTATTTTCATTTGAAAGAGAGAGTAGTAAACCAATTTTTGTTAGTTACACAGCGGCATTGAATGATGAGTTTTATGAAGGACTAATAGAAGTAGTGATAAGAGTGTTAATTTTAACTTTTAGTAAGAAAACAAAATAGTTGCACAGAAAGATTTGTCACACTAGAAGAATATTGTATAAATGTGGCTGCTGTTGTGCTTGCTTAGATGGTGTCTAAACAAAGATAGGGCTCTTATTCATCTAGTTTTGGAAACAAAGTACTCCCAGAAAAGACAGTGTAGTGATTTTTCTACCTCATTTTCAACAAATTTTAGGGCCCCAGATTTCCCCTTCTTAAGAGAAAATATGAAATATTTTTGGGGAGGTGAAAATTTAAGGGAATTCAGTGTATGAATCCATAAAATCTGAAAGTTTCAGGCACATTTCAAAACTAGATTTTCAGAAAGAATCCAACTTTCTTGATAATCTCCCTAGCATAGTTTCCTTTTTCAGGTTTTTGCCCTCAAGCGTCTATACTGTCACAGCCGCATACTGCCAGAGTCTTAGTTGTCTGGTCAACCTATATGGTTGCCTGTGCTTGGTGACTGCTTGGGATCCGTTTGGACCTAATGACACCTGGCCTCTTCTGCTGGGAAACTTCTGTTCAGAAAGGAGACTAATATACATTTGAGTCCCATTTTCACATGCCTTGCACTTCTACAATGTGAGTATGGGTATGTGCTTGGACATTATGCTAAGTTCACTTGAGTGAAAGACAGTATAGATACAATAGGTTGAAAATCTGATCCCACATGAGATGCGTTGTGTGAAGAATATATGCAGCCTCAGGATGTGTTATGGACCCTCAAAGACAGACAGGTCTCAGGGAGGCATAGGACAAGTAGGTATGCTGAAGAAGTAGGTAGTAATGTCCACCAAGGCAGGTATTAGAAGTGGAATAAATGTTCTCGGGTGAAATCAGAGAGCACTGACTCTGGCTCCCTGCTGAAGAGGAGGGGTGAACTGCTGCTGCCACCCACCGAGAGGCTGCAAGTCCACATCTTTCAGGGGAGATGAACTTAGGCTTATGCCTTGGGTTGCCTGACTCCTGAGAGAGAGGGAGATGTCTGGGTGCTGAAGTATCAGTTTACAAATGGAGGACCACCCTCTGCAGGCATGTGACAAGAGGCTAGCAATTAGACATCTTGAAATACATTCAGCAAGATACTTGAAACAAGTAGTTACTAATTTTGTGATATTAAACCATTATGTATTAGATTATTTTTGAGCAGTGATAAATCCATCGTGAAGGATTTTAACAATTCTTGTTTCTAAAATGTTACTTTAACAATTCCTGTAATATATAGGTATAATAAAACCTTGCACATTTAATACTGAAAGGTAAGAGAATACAAGCATCTGGGTCCACTGAGGCTGTTCCTTCACTTTGTGTGTTCAAACTTATCTGTGAGCTCCTCTTCCTTTTTATCTAAATTTTTTAGGGTGGTTGGTTTTCTATGATAACCTGAGTTTTCTTGCTTTGGGTGGATTTTGTTGTAATGACACTTTGATGAATTTCTTTTCCTCAGACAATGCTACTTCACTACTGTGAAGTGGCTCCTTAGAGTAGCACCTTCAAACTCACAGTTTTCTCTTTTCATACATTTGGTCATGTCTGCTGATTTCACTCTCTGACTTCTTTTCTCCTCCTATTTGTGCTGTAAAGGCAACACGTAAATCTTTGTTCATTCTGTTTCATTTAAGCCCATTAAAACACTTCTCTGGTGCACTGCCTCAGGCTCTCGTTTACACTACAGCAAGGCAGGTTTCCTTTCCAGTTGTAACCACTATAGATGAGCACAGAAAGCTGAATTTTAAGGTTAAACAGGCCCTGGGTTTTCACAAGTGTCTTGAACGTTGTTTATGGAAATAAAATAATCAAGGACTTGCTTTGACTTGCAGAATCTTCCCCTGATAGCAGTGCCTCTCAAGGAATAAGCAGAGTTTTAGAGTTAAGTCATCTCAAATGCTTTTTTGATTAGTCCTTTTGTTCCCTCTGTCCCTCCAGTCTTTGCCTCATACACTTGCTATTCATAACCTTTGGGAGTCACTGAGTTACCACAGTCCAGGTGGTAATTCATCTGCCGTACATCACAGAGCAAGGGCAAGCCGCCTTCTTGCATCTCTATTTCCTGAACCTGTTCTTCTCCAACCTGGAGAAGTGAGAAAACTGAAAGAGATTTAGGTAGTCCTGGAATATCTGTCGTGGCACTTCTCAAGGATGAAGTGCCAAATTTCACAAACTTGCCTGGGAGATGGGTGGTATCAGTTGCAGGAATGAGTGAGGAGTCTGTAACTCATACAGTTGGCTGCTGTGAGTATTTAAAATTAAAATGAACAAAAAATCTCACTCCAACCAGAAAAGCTTTTCACTTTTATTTTATTTAAAAACAGAATTGACTGTCCGCGCTGTGCATTTTCATTGGCCAAGTAAACTAGTAGTGACCCCTTTGGCTCAAGCAAGAGTTTGAACCACTGTCTCCTTCCCTCTTCCCCCTGCTCACTCATCCTGTAACTGAGAGGTTATAACCAACAGCAAGTGTCTAAGTCTGGTCTCCAGCTCTTTTTCCCTGCTGAGTTTCTCCTTGGAGCCCTCATGGGGTAGCGGTGCAGGAATGAGCACAAGCAGAGACTCTTGTTGCCCTTAAGGTCGGAGTTGTGGTCTGGAGCTGTGACAAACACATCAGAGAAGAGGCTGCTGCTTTGCTCCTTTGTCTTGAGTGCAGGAACAACTGGCTGGATTCTTTGAAAAACAATATTGCATTGCATCTGTAATGTTTATCTCCTTCAAGTTCTGCTGTGTCAAGAATCGTCTCATTAAAAGGCTGTGGGTTTTCCTTTTATTTATTTCTTTATTTTATTTTTCTCCTTTATTCCTGGCCATAAGTCTACTGAGGAGTTTAAGTTTCTATCACAAAAAGAGCTTTCTTGAGGCTTTAATAAGTAAAGTGGAATTGCTTTAGGGAAATTTCCTTCCTGATTATGATTATGTATACTTTTGTGTGTATGTAGGTAGATATATGAGGCAGATGATAACAGATAGTTCTGCAGACTGTCATGTTTACTTCCCACATATTCATGAATTTTTCAAGATCTGAAATTCCTTGAAGGATCTTAAACTGCATGTTGAAAAGTTTGGGAAAAAATAGATAAGTTTTATTTGGTTTCCTTCTTAAGAGATGTAAAATCTCTGTCTTACCAAATGTAGTCCAGCCCTGAAGGACTAAGGTTGCCATTAAATTTCTCTCTAGGGCTGCCAGAGATGGTTACACTGTGCAGGGACCTCCAAGTTACAGCAAGGTCCCATCATGTCTCCTCTTCCTTAGCTAATCAGTGTGTGTCAGGGGGAAGGAGGTATGGACAGAAGGCTGTGTGTATCTTTTGTCAGCCTGTAATTTCTCTTTGGGTTACAGGCTGCTGTGTGCTATGCAAATGGTAATACAAAAAAGAATAGAAGAAGTGGCCTCGGATTTATATATGACTTAAAAATTGTTGGCTTTCAGACTTTGGTAAACATATACATAGATATGGTTGTTTCTCTGTTTTTAGGAATACACTATAGATATAATTTTTGCCCAGACTTGGTATGACAGTCGTCTAAAATTTAACAGCTCAATGAAGGTACTTATGCTTAATAGCAATATGGTTGGAAAAATTTGGATTCCAGACACTTTCTTCCGGAACTCAAGGAAATCTGATGCTCACTGGATTACAACTCCAAATCGTTTGCTTCGAATCTGGAGTGATGGAAGAGTATTATACACTCTAAGGTGGGTTTTTATTAACGGGGTAGAAAAAAATAACTGTTATGACTAGGAATATGGAAATAATGAATATGGATCAAATCATTGGCATCTCTTTTGTTCTGGACCACAAGAATTTGCAAGGAGTTTACTAAAGGAGAAAAAAAAAATATTTGATCATGAAAACCATGAAATTAATAGTATTGAACGACATTGCCTAGATAACTGTGTAAAGACAGTTGAAAGGGGCTAGCAAATTTTAATCTCATTTAGATACAGGCAAGATTGAAAAAAGATGTTATATAGCATGTAACACGATGGTCTGGTCATAAATTGTTTTACAGACTTTCTGTTCTAAATAGTTCAGTATCTAATTTCCACCAAGTTATATGCTGTAAGTAAAATATGAAATGATTCAGATAATAAAATCATAAGAAGTTTGATTAAAGCTAAGGCCCCAGTCCTGCATATACTCCTTAACATGTCTACCCTTGCAAGCTATTAAAATTAACAAGTCTGTTCATCCAAATTAGGCATAAGCAAACATGTTGGTCATAATTCTTCTTGGCAAATGGGGGATGCTTGGGCTGGTTTTAAGTTTACCATCTAGGCTATCTGTACTAATCTTTGAGCCACTTTTCAAACAGTTCTTGAAAGGCTGTAGTCTACAGAAAGCATTGTAGGGTCATCTCTCAATTTTATTTTTTAAGTATGCCTAAAAAAAACTTGCAATAAATTGGGAGCTGATCAAGAAGCAGTGCATGCAGAGGATGCCATAAATCTGATCCTGCTCTTAACAAGTTTGTTTATTTATTTATTTTAAACAAAAAGTAGCACCTTTTAATTAATTTCTTTTCAGTCATTTATGCTGTTTTCATATGCAGGCTAGTTGTGTTGTATGAACAATTTATAAAAGTCTTCTTTTATAACTATTAGAATGTTTTCAAAGGATTCTCCTCACTGAATTTTTTTCTTAGTATGCTTCATTTGAGAGCATACAAATATCTCTGAAGAGCACTTTTTAAACAGTTTATTATGCTGGTGTGTTTAAAAATCCCTAGAGAGCCTCTTTTGTTGACATGCCAATTTATTTACCCTTCCATTGTCCATTCGGCTTCAATGCACAATTTCTTTTAAACAGCATCTAAGTAGCACAAAGAAACAAACGCAACCAAAAAAACCATGTGAGCTCTCCCAGAGCAATAAGTTAGAATTATTGTGCTAGAGTATGAACTATGAAGTGCAATGAGCTGGTAATAAAACAGCAGAACAGGTATTCACCCAGCACTGCAACAGGCAAACCTCTGTATGGGTGAGGATATGGCCTGGATTTTGCCTAAGGTGGAATAACGTTGAGACGTTCATATGTTGGTTATTGAAAGAATAATAATAGGATCTGACAGTGCTCCAGGTTCACGGGCTCCCCCATACCACCACTCTTACCCTGTTGGTAATTCAGGGAACAGATGTGGTGCACTGTTAGTCAGGCTTACTGAGTCTCCTCTGAGGGTAGTCCTTGGTCTGTCCATTGTGCCCATCAGGGATTCCAGATCTAGTTGTGTTGCTTTTAATAAAAGCCTGGTTTTGTTTTCTTTTTCTTTAAGTGTTTGACTATCCAAAGGTTGAAAATGGAAAAGAAAGGCAACATATACCATAGCTGTCAAATTTGAAAAGCATTTTCAGAGGGATGCAAGTGTTTTACTTGGAAATGTGTGTGTGGGTTCTCTTTTTTTTTTTTTTTTTTTTACCCCCCAGTATATGGCAAGAAATACACTTTCCCTTATAAACCTCTCTCTGGGTCAGGATAAATTTCTAGAAAGGTCCTAGTGATACTTTTTGTAGAATAACTACTTTGTTCACAGACTTACAGAGCTTTCAGGCAGCGTGTGGCAAGATCTTCCTTTCCCCATCCCTTTTTGTCTAGTATGTAAGTATTGCATACAGCCAAGTTCATAAGCTTTATGTTAGTTTTCAAAGTTGATTTTAGAAGACATTCTGACTTTCTTCACAGTGTTAACAACAAAGGAGGAGGTATTTTAAATGTGAAGAAGGCAGTTTGGAGTCTAGCTCCTTACTCTAGCTTCCTAGTGAAAGTTAGCAGAACTGGGTTTTGCACTGGTTGCTTGGAGCTCTTTGGGAATTTATGACAGCATTTTCAAAAGCAACAAGTGATTCAGTTGATACCACTACGAGTTCTAAACTACTTCTAAAATGTCTATTAGTTATGTGAATTACTTGAATGCCTTAGACATTAAATGAGTGGAAATATCAAATCTACTCTTTCCTATCCACGCTACTGTCTTCACCAGAGCTGCTTCCATGAGTATAGAGCAAGCCCAAGAGTGTCCCCACTTTCTCTCTCATGTATATAGCCACCAGCTAGAATGACGCCAAATGCAATTTGGCTTGACAAATGTGTTCTTCAGAAGCTTGCTGTATTTGTTATCATAAACTCCCCTCCTTGTCCTGCCTTTAGTCCCTCCCTTTTATCCCCTATTTCTGGTAGAGAGCTGAGAGATCCCTCCAAATGAACTGAAAGTTTTGAAATGGCTTGAAATGCCGGTTGAAACAACGTGGGTCCTCAAGTTGCGTATGATGATAGTTTTTGTTCTTTGGTGGTGATGCTGGATGTTTTTTGCAGATACACAGTTGGCTATGCATAACATCTGTTAATTGGCAAAATTGATTTCTGTGCATGTTCTTTACTATCTAGTCTGAAGTGACTGGATACTTGAATATAATCTTTTTTCTTCCCCTCACCCCTCCCCTTCCTTTTCTAATTAGGCTGACAATTAATGCAGAATGTTATCTTCAGCTACATAACTTTCCTATGGATGAACACTCCTGTCCACTGGAGTTTTCAAGCTGTAGGTGGTAAAATACTTTTTTTTTTTCTTTCTTGACATTCAGGCTTTAAATTTCCTTAAATTCTGGCAGCAAGAGAGCGAGTACTTTTTAAGGCCTTGTAGTGAAGGGAAGAACTGACTTGCTTATGTTTTGATTAGATTTATTCCATTATTTAATGTATTATTAAATGCAGTAATGAATGAGTTGAATTACATGCATTTCATTTCGGTGCGACTTTAAAAATAATCTTGTTGCTTAGGAGTCTGATACAATGCCCATTCCAGTTAATGGAAATTTATTGCCCTGGAAGAACTTTATTTTTTATGCCTGCCAGACTTGCCGGCTTTGAATTAGTTCTTTGTGGTATACTTAAAAGGAAAAATAAGATCTGTCTTCTTAAACCTGTTCCTGTAAATGCTTAATCAGCATAAGAAATCCTTCTCCGTTCAGTGGGACTTATTTATGTGAGCAAGAAACACAACTTTCAGGCTTCATTTCTTTAATGTAAACCATATTTAAAAAAAAAATTCCTAAGGGAATTGTACTATTACTGGCAAAAGAAACCCAAACCACCTGAACACAACTAAATGACTTATTCCTAAATGTGAAACCTAACAGGCAATGAAATCAAACTTCAGTGATTCTTTTTAAATTAATGTTTTTATTTAATACTTCCTTCTTGAGTGCTACCAGCTAAATGAGCTTTGGTAGCTCCATTGATTAAATAGTTGTGCCACACAGGTGAGTCTGGCTTAATCTCGTTTCTGCCTTTCTGCAAGATAATGTGGGGCAACATGTGAGGCACATGAAAATCAAGAAGGTTGCACTTCCTTAAAGTTGAAGTACTAGGCAATGAATCAGGCCACAAAAATCCATTCTGGGAATAATAGACAAAGAAATTTTCAATAAAAATCAAGACGAATTTTATGAAATTATGTACTAACAAGTGTCTGTCCTTTTAAGCTCTTTGTGGTCTTTTAATTATAATGTGTATTAATTCATAGTGATGTTTCTGAGCCAGTTTTTCAGATCTGAGTTACAGAATGTCGTGTAGATATTTCCTAAACATTTGTATTTACATAGGTTTTGACTGACATTACATTTAGTTAGGCTTAAAACTGAGGCTATATATTTTGTGGTTAAATTTTAAGTGTATCAGGTGGACTATAGATTGGCTTTCTCTCTGGTCCACTTTATGTATAGCCCTGGTTTAGTTTATAAACAACTTCAGAGATCACAAAACATGCTTTGGTATATATTGTGGCTGAATGATTGATTTGCTCTCTTTTATTCTAGATGGATATCCCAGAAATGAAATTGAATACAAATGGAAGAAAACCTCTGTTGAAGTGGCAGATCCAAAATACTGGAGATTGTATCAGTTTGCATTTGTAGGCCTACGAAATACAACTGAAATTTCTCATACTTTGTCTGGTAAGGCAAAATATTAAGTTTTATTTAATGTAACATCTATATAGAACACACCTAACAGATGAACGTCCAACTGAAAACCCTTTTCAATGTCATGTAGGTATTTTTTCCTTTTTTAATTTATAGGTGATTATATTATTATGACAATCTTCTTTGATCTCAGCAGACGTATGGGATATTTTACTATTCAGACATACATTCCTTGTATACTCACGGTTGTTCTTTCCTGGGTGTCATTTTGGATCAATAAGGATGCAGTTCCTGCAAGGACCTCTCTAGGTAAGAATGTCTTTTTTCAACCTTGAAGTGTCTGGTACTCCCCAGGAATACAAATCTGCAGCAGGGTGTAAATTAACCACAGTTTATTCCCCTTCAGATTGTGACCATTGGTCACCCTTTCTCTTGAACTGCAAGATTAAGAATAGGAGTATCCTGCTGTGGTTGCACAGCAGGGGTTAAGGAGGGAGTTTTGAGAATGGAAATCTGGAAATCCTGATCCAAGCCTTGTGGATCTGCTGCTGTTCACATAAATACTTTTTTTCTCCTTTATATTCTGTCATCTCCAGGGACGGCGATATGGCAATCATTAGTCTGACAAGTATCATTAAACTTCACTTAGCATCATGGAACACAGGATGTCATTACTACACAAACAAAAATCATGAAGATCTGTTTTGGGGTTTGGTTTTTTTGGGTTTTTTTTTTTTTTTCTGTTTTTTGGTGTTTGTTTTTTTCTTTGTTTCTTTGTCACTGTTGTTTTTTTAATAATCAAAACGATTCAGTTGTTCTTTCAAGGCCAGGATAGGACAGAAAATTTGCAACTAAAGTTGCACTTCAAGCAGTTAAGCATGTAACTCACAAAAACTGACTCACTGTCCTGCTTTTACTGCAAAGAGTACTGAAGTGTGTTGCAAGTTCTGCTACAGAGATAATTCTGTGTTAGTGTCACCTTGGCTGACCTGGTTAGCATGGTGTCAGTCTCCTGCATTTGACTGTTTAGGATTCATGCGCTGCCTTGGAGAAGAGTCCGTAGTCCCTACATGAAACACAATAGACAGGGGTGCGTGTGGTGCGCAGGACACACAATAGCAACTTTGAGCTTAGCAGTGACAGGTGCTCTTAGTAAAACTGGTGACAGAAGTATGACCTGTTTTGGGGGAAAGATCAAGAGCTGAGGATGTATCTTAGGAAATGAGAGATGTGAGTTAATTTTCTTCATCAGCTTATAGGATTGTGAACATACCATTCCCACGTTCTAGGAGCATTTCCTACCAGAAGGGTGAGTCCAGGCTTTAACTCTCTGCCTTTCCCACTGAAACTGGACCACTGTGCAGCCAAGCTTGCAAGGTTATTGAGTCAAAAAAGAAAGTAAGCAAAAATGAGCATGGCTCAGTAGCCTAATGAAAAGGTAAGAGAAGAAAATCAGTCTTGGATCTTAACTTTATGCTGTTTAAAAGTACTGCGAAGTTTAGTGAAGACAGTCTAAAATCTTGAATAAATAAGTGAAACTATCGCTTTATAGTTTCAAATCTAGATTTAGAAAGTTATTATAAGATTTCTTTGACTGACTAATCATTGGACATTGGGTACCGTCTGGAAAGACACTAGCTATAACAGGAAAAACTGTTGTATTGGTATCCTGTTAGGTCTGTATCCGGTTTGTTCTTTTTACAGAGTACTTTTTCTATGCCATGAACCTAGTAAATTTGCCTTTGATCTCATGGTTAAGCTAGAATGTTCACTCTCCCACTTCAGCAGCACTAATCTTCTTCTACTTGAGATGTACTACAAACGTTTACAGTATCATATTTACAGGTCCCTGCAGTTAACTCTGAGTTCCTTTTGTGTGAACATGCAGAAGCCATTGCTTGACAGATTGTAGGATGACTTCTCTCACATGTAGATGTTCCAGTGAAGAAGAAAGAGAATATCAGTCAAATAGACACAATTTTATAGAATTAAATTAAGATAAGAAAGCCCAAACTAAGCAAGGTCCACCATGGCAAGCAGTCGTGGTGCTGTGGAAGGTTTCCTCCCTATGAAACCCCCTGTATCCCTTTCGCATAGTGGAGAGGACTGGGAAAGTCCACGTCTCCTTTTGTCCTCTCTGAACAGAAGCCAGTGAGGGGAATGGTGGGTGTGACTTCCTATCTGAAGGCTGGGGTCTGGTACACCAAAAAGGCTTGGGCCTTTTTCTTGTATGTTGAAAGATCCTGGCAGGTTGTGGTATCCCAAATCAAAAAGTTTGAGATGATTAAAGTTATTTAGGTATTTAACTATGCAGAGAAATATTTAATTGATTTTCAAAAACACCTAGTGGGAGCAAAGCACTTTTGAAAAACTCTGTGGTTGTCTGCTTGCCCTTTTAGGCATGTAATTTCATTGGGAAATTTGTTGCAAAATCACCACTGCTTTCCTGCTGCAGGATGAGTCCATAGTGACCCCTGATTCCATGCTTTGATTTAAAAGCCATAGACAGCTTTAGACTGGTGAAACATATTTTTTGCAATAAGCCTGTGCATGTAAATAACAAATTATTTGTGTATTCACATATTGCTCTCAAAAGGAAAGGTCACATCTTAATTTTGGACTACTATGAAAAAGGCTTTGCATCTCCCTGAAGCATCAAATATAAGAAGAAAGTGTTAACACCCTCTAAATGTTACACCAGTGAAGAGTGGTATAGTTGAGATTCTGAACACATCGCTATTAAGGCCAGCTTGTTCTTTTAATTAACTTGTATGTAAGTGAATCAAGGGAAACATTTTCTATTACTTTAGACACAGTATTGAAAAAATACCTAGTAATTTAGATAATGAGACCAGAAAGGCCATGAAGGTCACCTAGTTTGATCAGCGGCATGTCAGAAGCAAACAGCTGAAAACATTATTCCTTTTTCTCGTGTTTTCTGAAAGCTTGAAATAGTTGATAAATAAGACAACTTTTTTTTTCTGAATGTGTCCTTTTATACATTTTAATCTTTCAAGAGCCAAAGGACTTTTTTTTGTGTTTATAAAATCTGTGTGCTTATTTGTACCTGTTTGTCTATTGTATTTGTTTTATGTCTTCATTCTATAACAGATTTATAAAATCACACAAACTTTCTCAATGCCATTGTTTATTCAGTGTGCTGAAAAGGGGAAGGATTTAAACTGAAGGGGAAATGTGCTGCCTTTTCTGTGATCCCACAGTGACTGCTGGATCCATAGGGATGGCTTCTTGCAATAGCACCGATGCCTGTGGGTGTGATCAGCGGTGAACCCTGCTGTGGCTCAGTTCTTGTATGCCTCATGAATGAATTAGGGGCTAATTTGAGGATCTTCTTGTGGCAATATGGTTGGATCACTTATACACTTCACTCTTCCTGTCGTCTTTTATTTCTTTCTCAAACAGGCATTACAACGGTGCTGACCATGACAACGTTGAGTACAATTGCTAGGAAGTCACTGCCAAAGGTTTCCTATGTCACAGCAATGGACCTTTTTGTTTCAGTTTGCTTCATTTTTGTGTTTGCTGCCTTGATGGAATATGGAACCTTGCATTACTTTACCAGCAACAGAAAAGGGGACAAAGGAAAAGAAAAGAAGGCAAAATCTAAGCCATCAGTAAGTTTAACCAAACAACAAGAAAAAAAAATACAGAATGCTCTTTATTGTAGGATAAATTTTGACAGACTGGTTCTTAAGTAGAAGGGCTAATGTTCAAAGATAATTAACACTAATATTTTATTTTATTTTTTTTTTACAGTTGGGGGATTGTACTCATTTTCTATAAATACCACTAATGAACAAAGGTTTTAGATCATTCCACTCATATGTGAATGAGAACACATGAGCCTAAGCTAGAGAGTGGTTCGATATGATATGCCATGCTTCCATGCCATGCCAAAGCCCTTGGTGCTTCTAGAGCTGCCTGTGGAGTGTGTGCCCATGCAGACAGTTCTGTCCGGGCACAGTGCTTCTAAAAACAGCACCTGGCAGAGAACCATAGATAAGACTGTAGCCATAAAGATAATGTAAATGAACTGAAGGTATGAGGATTTGTTTGGGTCTGCATCACCTAACTTGGGTCTTACCTTGCTAGCTTTGTAAAGCAAAAAGTGTTTGTTATTGGTCAGTATTCTGACTCCCTCCCACTTCAGAAATTCTACTTTAACTCTTTTTTTTTTTTCATTTACTTCCATGTTTCTTTCTAGTAAAATGAACCTTCCGCGTTTAGAAGTTGATATTTGTATGGTGTGAATCCCCACATATGCCAGGAACAAGCTTTCTGTTTGTGTAGTAAGAATCCTGGAACTTCCAAAGAATATGTTGTTGGAAGCCAACACAAATATTTAAAGCTATTCTTTAAATTAATACAACATTGAGGTAAAGGCATTAAATCGCTTATTCATTTGAACACCAGTATTAATGTCTGGGACTCGATTGTAGTCATCTTTTGGAGAGAACAAGAGGAAGGACAACGTTATAAAGCCCCCCCTTCCAGATCATTTAATCAGGAGAAGCTGGAGCATAGCCGAGTCAAAGTATCAGCTGTCTTGAAGGCTGAATACCACCTGTGTAAGTTCAAACAGAAATTGAAACGAAATTAGAGAAGCCCAGGTGTGGAAATGCGGAAAACCTGGTGTGAACCACATCCATCCTGCGACCGGTGTCAGAAAGCACGGGCGCACCCGGCTGGGGGGGGCTGTCTTACGGGGGCACTCCAGAGCTGCCCTGGCTTAATACCTCGGCAGTGAGAGCCCTTACGTTTCGTAGGGTGACCTGGTCCGAGTGGGTCAGCTGTGTCTTTAGGTCAAGGCTAGTGGGGAAGAGTTAATACTGCCCTGTGCTGCCTTGGTCGGACATCCCTGTGATCCTCAGGGAATCCAGCACAGCCAAGAGAACTGAAAAACAGACCTCAAACCTCCTTCCTGTTAGTGGTAGAAGCAAATGTGGATGGAAATGGATGGAAAACAGGCTTTGGCAAGGGCCATGGCTGAGCAATGAGGGTAAAAGGTAACAGGCTGCAGAATTTGGGGGACTTCCCAATGGTAGCGTAGCAGATTCAACTTTAGGTGATTGTTGCAATGAGGTCTCAACAGCACTTAGGGAACGGGAACCTGAAATAGGTCTGCTCTCAGCATGCACAACAAGGAGAAGAAGAAGAGGGGAGGAAATACTGGTTATTCAAACCAGGAAGATACTAAAGATCAGCTGCTGGCAGATCAAGAGCCCCTGAAATGGTTTGCAAGTGTACTCTATTAATGGAGTAACGAGACATTCCAGAATCTGTTCACACATCAGCCATTTGTGCAGTAATCTACCAAATGCTTTGAGATTTTCAGTGTGTGTGACAATTTAAGATGTAGAGTAATGGTGAGATAGAAACTATGACATTTATTGAATAAATAGCTGGAGTTTGGATTAAGATTCAAGTTAGCAATATAACCCTCAAAACACTGTTCAGGTATGTTTAACTGTGTTCTTAAAGTATGCTTTTTATTTCTAAGTAGTTGAAAAACAACCATGTTTTCACACAGAATGCTTTAAATATGTTTCAGCACATTATGGCTATAAGACCATACTGGATAAGAGATTATTCGAAAATAGGGGGGAATTAAATTTAATATACTTAGATGCAAGGATTCTAATATGAGAAATAGGGTTTTTTGTGATGTTTTATAAAAAGCTATAAAATTTCTTGTTCCAAATAGAACAATTAAAGAAACCATCTGATTAATTAATGGGAATTTATAGAATTACAATTTTTTTCTTTTTTTTTTCGCCATTATCTTTGTCAGAGACTTCTGTTCATTCTTTTTCTTTTGTAGTTATGGATATGTAACTCAAAAAAACAATTTAATTAAAATAGCCAGCTTAATTCCTTCTGAAAAGTTCTCATTTACAGGTGTGTTTTCTTTGGAAAACTTGCCTTGCATAGGTCTTCTATTTCTATTGCAAAATGCAATAAAAGCTTATTATTCCAGGAACTAATGCCAATAAGGTGCAGCAGATGATCTTGTGAAAAAATGGTGAGATTTTACAAATGATTACAGCAGTTTTATCTTACAAAATATGTGCTGGCATCATTCAAGAAAGGTAGTATGAATTGGCTTATGTAAATCCACATTAGTAAGGATAATGAGTTTGGGCAGGAAGGATTAAGTTTAATTAGTTGTGGATCTTGTTCTGATCATCATTTCACCTGCAGAGAATGTATCACCTGTGCTGTGATCTCCATAGACAATGGCTTTCTTTTGTACGTGTATTAGTGTTAATGCAGAATAATTTGGTTTTGGTCCTGTCAGAGTGTATTATAAATGCTTCTCATTATACGCTGGGTTTTATCTACAATATCAGTAGATAAACATGATTGTGTATGAACAATCAGCATGTACTACTGTTTGCTGGGGTTTTATTAAGTCTCTGCCAATTGATATAAGGTCATTTTCTTGTGAGGTGTTGGTCTTTTCCCCTTTTTCCTCATATTGTCTCTTTCTTAGACACATTTTATCTATTCCTTGCAGGTAGTTAGACCTATAAGATGGCACTGTCTTTCTGCCTCTCTCAGACCACCTCTTCAAACCTGTAATCCAGTAGCCAGCTAAAGTCTGTGCTGGTGACATGAGCAGAGAAAAGCAGTACTGTTATTTTTATCTCTTCCCATGGTGTTTCTGAGTTGAGCATTCCTGTTTCACCCTACTAGTAGAAACGAATCATGCCAGGAATCTCACACTGACAGAACCGGTAGTCAGAAAATCCTTGTAAAGCCAGAGTAGGCATGAATCAGAAATAAGCATCTTTCCCTACAGGTCTTCATCAAAATAATGATTTGTAGGTTAAGAAAAAAAAATTGAAGTTACTTTTTATGTTTTGTGAAAATAAGCCTTGTTTGTAATGCCTCAAATTAGGGTAGAAGCATGTAACTGCTGTTTGTTAGTGTTGTCAGTATTTTATCATAACCGAAAAGGATAATGAGGTCCTTTAGGATGATTATTAGCTGCCTAGGTCATCATGTCTAAAAAGTGTTGAAACAGCAGTCTGTGCGAAACCTCCTCTGGTAAAGACACCTGTTACACAAAGCTATTCAAAAACGTGGTGGATGCTGCACTGCTTTAACATCACCCCTTGGGACACTGGGTGAAATGTCCCTGCAGAGTGCCTAGGTGTCCAGAGGTCTGTATACTGGCCAAAGTAATTCCCTGGAAGTGGGACAACAGCACTTTAACCTACAACAAGAATCTAAACGATGTGGCTTCCTGCTTTTCATATTTTTTTATACTTTTTAATTGCCTATCATGTATAATTGTTTAAGGGAGATTCTTCTCTAGACTTCAACACCCAGTTAGTTCTTCTGACTGCATCCTTTCTTGCTGTATTTATTCCTTACATGACAAAATATGGAGATAGTAGAAAAGTGAGAAGACGATGTAAGAATACTCTTGATGTAACCCTTATCCTCAGTCCGAAGATTTTAGAAGAGATGCCAAAGGTGGGGGTGTGAAAGGAAGAGGAGTTGGAGTAGTTTAAAAAGGCTATGAGATTTAGAAAGAGAAAAAAGGACAGAGAGAGAAAGAGAATGTCTTTTTAAACATTCAGGAAAACAAAGATGAAGAGTGAAGAACTGAGTGGAAACAAAATAATAAAAGGGGGAAAGATGGGCTGTGGTAGTGCAAGTAAAAGGAAGGTGGAAAGGCAAAAGTTGCAGGAAAGGGAATAGCAAACAGTATATGTACTAGGCAATAGGGCACCCAGATTTTTTCTCTGGAAATTATTTATGAACCTTAACATCTGTTACACTGAGTTTTTACCAGACTGCAAGAGGGTTGAGTTATGCCCACAGAAAGTAAAAGTAAGAATTAAGACTTGAATTAATCAGTTTCTCTGACTTGAATGGCATTCTCCAAAGGTGTCTTATGTCCTGGTTTCTAAAGTAGAAAATACGTAGTAGTAGGCTAATAACATAGTAGGCTATGTTATTTAACTGGGCAGTTCTGTATAAGTTTTCAATTTTAATCCTAAATGATAATGCAGATGAATTTTGTAGCGTCTCTTACACCTTTGCAAAGAAAGCCTTAATAAAATGGGGCATATTGTTTAGGGATTTAACATCAGGGGTTAGATGATGTAGCCTGGCCTTATATGTCTCATTCTCTTAAACTTCACCAGTACTGCTGCACTGCTCCCACTGGCACTTTTTTTTTGGTGAAAATGTAGCTTCCAGAAACACATCCAGTCTGGTTCTAAAGATTCCAAATGATGGGAGAACGATCATTCCCTTGGTAATGACGCTTATGGCCTGCTTGCGGACTTGCTTGTGACCCAGTTGTCAAGCTGTGACTGACTTCAGAATGTTCTTTTGTGTTGTGTGGATGGGATCAGCTAACCCTGTCTGTGTAACTAATTATCCACTATTCCCAAATCCCAGAACAACCCAGTTTCCGCTGTGGCAGGTGAAAATCATTCATGATCTTTTGCCTGCATGAGCTAGTTATATACAGCAGTCCATAATTCACAAAGCTCCACAAACTGTTTTCTTTAATATTAGAATTTCTCTATATTGTACTGAATGCATTTATATTGGCATTTGCTATGGAAAGCCTGTGGAATTATTTAATCTGAGGATAAAAAAACCCCACAAAACTATATTTTTCTTTTTTTGTTTTTCTTAAGAAACCTGCAATTGCTGTTCGACCTGGATCAACACTAATTCCAATTAATAACATTAATCATCTCCCTGAACGTGATGATGATTATGGATATGAGTGCCTAGAAGGGAAAGACTGTGCTAGCTTCTTTTGTTGTTTTGAAGACTGCCGCACAGGATCTTGGAGAGAAGGAAGGATACACATCCGTATTGCAAAAATTGACTCCTATTCTCGAATCTTCTTTCCAACTGCCTTTGCATTGTTCAATCTTGTTTACTGGATTGGCTATCTTTATCTATAAATTTCAGAGGTTTGACAAACTCAGAAGAAATGCTAATTGAACAGTCATTAACAGTCACTTCAGTGAGCATTAGATCAAAGCCAGCTCAAAGATTAGAGCTGGTTCAAAATGTCTCAAATTGTTTGGATGCTTTAAAAATTTGAAACGATGAGAGGAAATATGGTGATGTAGTCTCCCTCTTGTGATCAACTATAGAACTGATACTGCTATTTTAAAGAGAAAATTTAAAAATAAGTACTTCTAAGATTTAACTTGCCTGAACACACACCTATTTTTGTCCAGCTCTAACAAAATGCAGAGTCAAGAGGCTATGTTATTTAACCGGACAGTTCTATATGAGTTTTCAATTTTAATCCTAAATGATGATGCAGATGAATTTTGTAGCATCTCTTACACCTTTGCAAAGAAAGCCTTAATAAAATGGGATTAGTTATTCTCACCCATTTCATCTATAAGGTGATGATTTTATTAATCCTTGATTTTAAAAAGTTGAAATGGAACAATTCTATTTTTCAACCAGCCATTTGTTCTCTGCAGTATGTTAAAAAGAGTGATTGTCATAATTAATCACATTCAGATTTATACATAATGCAGAGATTAGAGCAGCAAAAAATGGATATATCACAAAAAAACCAAGGGTAATTCTGAGCTTGTCTTATCCTGACCATTGATACAGGCTTTTGGCTTTCAACCTTAGATTACATTTATGTCTGTGCTCCATCTGCCATTACTCCACTGTTGTGAGTTCCCCGAAGTTCTCCAAGAGGGCTACAACTTTCAAAATGTCCTACTCAGCTGCCATTACTTATTTCATGGAAACCAGACTGATGTCATCTGAGATTCTGGCATTAAAGCATAGTGCTCTTCACCTCTTCCCCACTGCCCTCTCCTTTGTCTTGTTTCATACTTGGGGCCAGAGGAGAAGTCATAACTCTACATTCTGAGAGTAGAGTTTCTACTGTCAGAGTTTGGAAAACCTGTAACAGTGCTATACTCATTGTATTTAAAGCCACTATGTTAAATCTCCAGCCCTAAGAGTGTAGTGTGTCACCTGCTCCACTTCGCATACAGTACGATTTTGTAGGTTCTGCTTGTTGCTATATAAGCTACTCACTAAGCCAAAGCCAAACGGTATGAATTTCCTGAACCTGTGTTATGGATTGCTGTGTAATTACCTCCTTGATATTTGTTTGTTTCTAATGGAAAAGTCCTGTTAGGGGGGGTGTTAAAATAACCCTCATGCAGTGCAGATCCTTCTCCAGCATGGAATGTATCCCCCCAAAATCACGGGATGAGTTCTCCAGCCTTTCTGTGGTCAGAGCTTCTGTTCACTTTGGCAGCAGTCCTTCAGTAGTAGCCTTTTTGGACTGACTTCTCTGTGTTGACTACTGCTGGCTGGAAGTATTTAGTAACTCATTTCTATTTTTAAATCCATTGTCTTCATTATGGAGAAGTGAAGTCTTTCCTCCTTTCTCAAAAAGAAACTGGTCTCAAGTGAGCTTGCAAAATCGCTGTAAAATTAAGATATGCATTAAGTAAAAGTCAGAATTACACAGAAGACCTTACAGATCTTTAAAGAGGATTAATGGGATTAGCATTTGGTTGTAGGTAAGGATGTTCAGTACTGGAGATAAAGACACGATTAATGACTAATGATAGAAAATGATACGTGAAGGACTCCCCCCAATATTTCTGTTGAATGTGCTCCCTCCTCTGAATTTCTCAGAAAAGATTAATGTATTTTTATATTCTGGTTGGTACCAGACATAATAAGATATGATATGCGATACACATTTCAGATGAAATGTTACTGCAGTGTTCAGTCCTGAAGTTTAATACAGAATGCAAGACTATGTGCAGTGATTCTGGAAGAAAGTGTGACAGAGAAGATCCCATTTTAATGCAAACTTTGTTTCAGTATTTAGTTGATGAAATATGAAAGTGGTTGAGAGAATCTGAAAGCCTGCTGTTGAGGTTGGCTGACATTTTGTTGTGTGACCTTTCTGAGCACCAACTTCTTCTGACTCTTAGACTGAGCGTAGAAGTATGGCATCATTAACAACACTGACCTACTATAATTTAGAGTCTTATTTGCAGAAAATGTTCAGTACGATGGAAATGTGTCAGTTTTAATTCCATAGTGCAGTTTAATCCGTGTTGACAGCACATTAAACACATTCTTCTGTAGGAGGGATGAAGGTGGCTTCAGCAGCAGTATGTTGGTTGTCTACATGAAAAGCAGTCTACTCGCTATACAATATAAGGCCCAGATTTTGTGAGCTCCTCAGTTTCATCAATTCACCTTTAAACAAAAGGAACTTGAAAGAACTTGGCACTTCACAAGGGGAAATACAAATTTCACAGCCCGCTCTCCTCTGGCACATCTAGTTAGCTTTTTCTATTCATGTGGTTGTCAGTTGCCAATCAGCCTCCAGTGACTGAATTGGAGAACAGAAAACATCCTGAATTGGCAAGGGATGGATAAGAAGTCTTTCATCTCTCATTTCTGTGAAACAATGTAATGGAGTATTAAAGCTATTGAATGTTACGGCTGTTTGGCTTATGGATACACTTGCTTCTGTCTGTTGACAAACTTTTCTGTGTACTTCATTTGTTTCTGATGAAATAATTTTAGTTTCCCACAGTACTGTGAGTGCAAACAGGAATGGGAATGCAGTGAACTGTAACATGGCATGTAATAAATGTATTATTTTAGTCCTATGTGTTTTCTTTCAAATCTGCATGTAAACGCTTGATTCCAAGAAATCGAAGTGATACTCAAAAAAATGGCAAAAAACAGAGACTATGATTACTTGGACTTAGATGCTGCAATCATTTTTCAAGCCTACCTGGATAAAAGTTTTTTTCAGATAGCTGGGATCACAGTATTTGGAGTCATATTATTCTGACCATTACTGCTTAAGCACATGCTTAAACCTATTCCTAATCAGTATTGTAATTAGACAGGAATTCAGAAAAGTGTGTGCTTATGTACTGTCATAAAGAATGATGCTGTCCTGAATTGATGCCATTAACATACGCTTAATTTGCACTAATTTCAATAATAAGTGTTCAGTAGCTCAAATGATTGAACATTAAGGATGTGAGCCAGAGCCTCTTAAGTAAGAAGTTTTCTCACCAAAAGAGAAGGACATAAGAGGAGAAATTACCATAAAGGCAGAGAGGTGAAAGTCTGGGGAAACTATTTTATACTGCACCTATCTTAGGCATCTTGTGAAATGTGTTTTCAAAAAAAGAGGCTTTTCCTTGATATTTCTGGTATTGGCGTTCAGCACTTGTCTGTTTTAGTAGTGAGTACAGCACAGTGTTATTTTTTGGTAAGGTTTTGTCTATGGTTGTACCTCACTGATATTCAGTGCATGTCTTCTGTGTCTGAAACGAATCTGTTTTATGTAGTGGCAGTGCCACCAAAGTATGAGCTTTTATATTCATGTGTTGATGTGCTTCAAAGGCTGTAACCTCATCCAATTTTCTGACATTCAGAGACATAAGATTGTGTAAGACTTCGAAGGAGAATCACCTCCAACATGGGTTTTATAAATTTCTGTTGCTTATTTGCTATGGTAGTAAAAGGTTTGTTTAAAATTGATATATGAACTGTGCTTTGCAATTTGTGAACAACTTTGACCTTTCAATTAAAAGCCCAAGAGGAGGAGTCTAGATTTAAATATCTATCTGCCTAAAGTAAGATATGTTTTGTTTAATTACATCAGTCATCATTTCAATTTACTCTGAGAATTAGTGCAAATTAATTTATTTTTTTTAAAGTAGTTGTTAATATTTTTTTTAATTCTGTGTAGTTTCTCTCGGTTATACATTAAATGTGATCTTTTATGTTTGTGAAATAATACTGCATTTTGTAGTCATTATAATAGATGTAGAAAATAGAAACTAATGTAGAATTCCTCAGCTAAAGAATACAAGGGCAGGAATTAGAAAGAATTGTTGTGCTTCTGTTTCTGAAAAAGCTCAGTGAATGTCCGTATGCTCCAATGAATGTGTTGTCGGGGAGACTGGCTCATGGGGAGAGGTAGAATATTCTCTGAGCTTTAGAAAAGGCCTCCGCATTGGTTCATGCTATGGGATCGCTACCCAAGTGGTTTAGGTCAATGAAAGGAATAGATCTGTCCTTCCTTTTTGAGCTGCCTCTTGCTTCTGCTTCACTTGTGCCAGCAATAGCGGTTGTAAAGCTATGCTGCTGGATGGATCAAAACCTGAAAATTTATCTTTATTTTACTCTTTTGTAAGTTAATGTTTCAACCAGATGGGTGGGGTCATCTGACTGACATGCAAGACTATGACCATTTGTTCTGGTCCAAGACAGGTGATGGGAGCTTGCAGCTGGAGGCAGAGGGGTGGCCTCTTCTGACGGGCATATTTCATTCCGTTGAGAATCTGCACTGAAAGCTGGTGTGGAAGAAGGGGAAAGATGGGGGAGAAAAGGTTGCCAGGGGAAGTGATTCCAGAATCCACTGTCATGGATCTAAGTGACTTATATTTAGTTAACAAGTATCTATCTGCAACATAATAAAATCTTTTTCTTTTTTTTAATTTATAAAAAACCCCACCAAAACCTGTGCCTTTCCTATACGTCAATTACAGACTGAATGAGCAATAGACAGTTATCCTGAGTGATCATTCCTGGAGAAAAGTCAGACAGAAAGTCAGAAATCAGGTTAAATCAGAAAAAGATTATCTTTTTTCTCCTTTTAGTATTAATGATAAAAACTTTTATTAAATTATTGAGTATTAATAAGTACAATAAACATTGGGAA